GAAAGAAGTTAATCCAATCTCCCCAGTTGGGGGGGCTGGGTGGGGTAGAGAAATCCCACCTCCCCAATCCATGGGATATAGATATATAGACCTATTTATATATATATCTTCTGTTCAGTTCAACATCCGTTTTAGCAACTGATTTTTTTCTCTTTCGTTTCCCAAACAGACGCGGTGCGGGGGAAAAAAAAATCTCTCTCTTTTTTTTTTCTTTCCCCCTTTTAAAAACAAAAGCGTTACTCGGGTGTAACGTACAGGCCTGGTCCAAACCCAGCAGCTTTGGTTTAGATCTGTGTGGCCTCCCTCTTCTGGAACCTCAAGCGCTTTAGAGAGGGAGGCTGGTCCCACCAGCAGGCTCGGCGCCTGCAACTATTCCTCTTGCAAAAATCCCACGCTTCTCGAGGCGAGGGATAATAGGTTTTTCTCTCCTTTTATTAACAAAAGAGTCTTCTTCAGCGGCCTCTTCGCCTTGCGGAGCTTTGCATCAGCCAACATCAGTGCCTTTCCCTTCTTGTCCATTATTGTCATAACCGCCTTCTTTGTTTTCTCTTGCCTTGAAAGAGATTTTTTTTTTTAAAAAAAGAAAAACCCGCAACCCATTTGAAACTTAAAAAAAAAAAAAGGAAGGAAGGAAAGGAAAAAATAAGGTACAACCAAACTGGCTCTCTTTTTCGCGAGCATCTCTCCTCCTCCTCCTCTTCTTCCACCACCTCCTCCTTCTGCTTCTTCTCCTCCGTGATATGTTGCAAAGAAAGAGAGTTACAAGTCTGGATACGGCCCATGGAACAAGGGGAACGCTCTTTGTATGCCGCATGGCATCCAGTCTGCAAGACAAAGGGAGGGGGGAGGAATTAAGAAGGGCTGGAGTGGGACCAGGAGGCACGGTGAGCAGGAAGAGCTAAAGAACACAGACAGACAAAGACCTAGGATTGGGGCTGTGTCTACCCTCTGCTTTAAAAACAACAACCGAAAATCGACACCAGGGGAAATGGAATACTGCACAGTGTCTAGATCTGTGGTTTTCAGCCCTTTGCCCTCCATGTTTTGGCCCTCAACTCCCCAGAATCCTAGCCAGTGGGGTCAAAGGTCCAGAATTCTAGGAGCAAGTCCAAAACATCTGGAGGACCAAAGGTTGAACCTCACTGGTCTACAGTAGGGTTCCCAAACTTGGGTAACTCAGATGTTCTTGGACTACAACTCCCAGAAGCCTTCACCACTAGCTGTGCTGGCCTGGATTTCTAGGAGTTGTAGTCCAAGAACATCTGGAAGAGCAAAAGTTGGCCCCACTGGTCTAGAGCAGGGCCCCCCAATCTCGAGTCTCCAGTTGTTCTTGGACTACAACTCCCAGAGGTCTTCACCACTAGCTGTGCTGGCCAGGATTTCTAGGAGTTGTAGTCCAAGAACCTCTGGAGGACCCAAGACTGGGAAACCCTGGGGTGGAGGATGCATATCAAAGACATTTGCATGAACTTTTTTTTTATTTTCCATATCTGATTCTTCCTTCTACCAGTCATAAGGAAGGACTAATGCAATAAAGCATTAATCCTCTGATAGAGCACTGGGAATCCAATTGAATCCTGCCACTGGGATCAACACTGGGGTGTGTGTCAAAATTTGCACACACGCACACACAAGCACGCACACACATACATCTGAACCGATCTTTGCATGTCCAGGCCTACACACATGCTTTCCATCAAATAAGGGAAAAGGAAGTTGGATTCTCCTGTACTTTGGTGGAGTGAGAGATGGCTCAGTTCTTGGCAGAACTTGGAGAAGTTACCTTCTGGGGTGACAACTTCCACAATCTGCCCGTCAGTCAGAGGCCATGCTGTCTGGGAGGAGTCTGAGAAATCTAGTCCATAATGCCTAATTGTTCCACCATCAGTGGTACCTCACACAAGCTAACCCTGAGCTACGGGCCCTCATCAGGGGGCAGGGAGGAACCTCACCTAACCATGCTTAGAGCAGAAACACTGAAATCAGTGGCCAGTTAATTATGACCCAAATTGTCCCATTGATTTCAGTGAATAAGAAAACGCATGTCAAGATTCGGTCCAGGGCTGGAGGTTCAAGGACTAGAAAGAAAAGTCCTTTGAAATGGAAATGCAACGGATTCAATGTAAGATCAAGTAAAGCACTGGTTCTTAACCTTGGGTTACTCAGGAGTTTTGGACTGCAACTCCCAGAAGCCTTCACCACCAGCTGTCCTGACTGGGGTTTCTGGGAGTTGCAGTTCAAAAGCATCCGAGTGACAAAGGTTAAGAACCACTGAAGTAAAGCACTATGTTTTAGGCCTATAAATAAAACTGCAGACTTTTTAATTAAAAATTATAAAAGCAAGGTTTGTGGGGTTTTTTTTCCCCTTTCAAAAAAAAATCCAATTCTGCTTCTTCTGGTGCTGTTTCTTTTTCTTTTCCCCCCAAAAGGGAAGCCACTTTATCCTCCATCTGGTGAAAACAAGGACTGTCCTTAGCTATCCTTGTTCTGGAACACACAACCATATCAACGGATCGCTTGACTTCACAGCCCCATAGAAAACACAAACCCTGTGAGTATGGCCTGGTTTCTACCTTCACATTTTAAAAATAATAATAATACAATAAATACGTTACATAGGCCAGGTTAGAACCAAGCTCAGACGAGTTGTGTTTTTGTGATTTACTTGGCCTATTCGTCTTCTCTCGTTCTCTTTCATATATTTTTGTGAGTGTATGTGTTTGTGGACACACGTAGGTGTAAGAATGCCTAGGGCAGGCATTCCTACACTCCCTAATCAGGTGTGCTCACATACATCAGGGGAGGGGGACCACAATATATATAACCTTTCATATTTCTACTCATTCTCACCCCCATCCTCAAGGTTTAACTTTTTAACTTGCTTAGAATCTTTAAATCAGAAACATAGGATAACCCAAATCAAATCAGATGATAGAGGCTTTCCAAATTGCTACTGTCTAAATCAATGGTTCCCAACCTTGGGTCCCCAGATGTTCTTGGACTACAACTCCCAGAAGCCTTCAACATGAGCTGTGCAAGAAACATCTGGGGACGCAAGGTTGAGGGCCACTGGTTCTGAATCATGGATGGGGAATCAGTGTGTGTGGTGCTGGGCCAGATTCCCTCCCCACCCGCCCTGTTCAAGGAGGATGATATCAGGGTCTCAGCTAGATTGTGATGCTGGAGCATGTGATCACATGCTCCAGCATCACAAATTTCCAGCTTGCTCCACTGGCAGGAGCATTCTCAGGTTTTGGACATGGGATCCCCCTGTCTTTCGATTTCCAGCCTGCTCCACTGGCAGGAGCATTCTTGGGTTTTGGACATGGGATCCCCCTGTCTTTCCTCTGTTTCTTATTGGAAGTATGAACAGGGTGGGGTGGGAAATCCTCCAACAGCCTGGTGACGCCTGCAACCCTTCGTGGGCTGGATTGAGACGGCTCCATTCTGTGGGCTGAAGTTTCCTCTCCCTGGAAACTCATGCTTTGATGCTAAGCCACAATCCATTGCGGGCGGAGGGGGGAAATGTTGCTTGTCTATATGCTCAAGAAGCGAACAAAGGTGATCGTACTGAGCTGGCTAACCTATGACTCTCCATATGTTATTCAACCACAACTCCCATCATCAATCACCTCTGGCTATGCTGGTTAGAGCAGAAGGGAGGTGCCTGATTCTGAGTGTGTACCGCCTGCTCCTTCTTACCCAAGTCTGATTTCTTAAGGGAGACCCAGCCGTTTTTAGTTAGCCATGAAGACCGAACAGTGGATAGAGAGGGCACGCACACACGCGCACACACACACAATGGCCACACATCACGACAGAGAGGAAAAGAAGAAGAAGAAAATAGAAAGTGGAGTTTATGGGCTTAAAAAAATCCACAACTAGTAAAAGACTGACCAATCAGCACTCCAAAAACTATCCACCACGGGCACCAATGTGGTACTGCACAATCGCCAAAAGAGAAGAGGAAAGGGGTCGGGAGGTGATGGGGAAAGAACCGATAAGAAAAAAAGTGTAGATATAGAAAGATTAACGTCAAGTTCATGCAACAAGATTACAACCGGCCACACATGGCGTCATCGGAGAGGACGATGACAACATGAGTTGAAGTCACTTACAGTTTTCAGACATTTGGGGAGGGAGAGCTTTTGATTTGGGCCTCCCATAACAGCTAGAGGGTTGCTAGGCAACTGTGGGGGTTCATCCTTGGAGCTATGATTGGCCTGGTCTGTTTAGAGACACAGTAGTGGATGGGTTGGAGGAAACAAAAACAAAAATATAAAGAAAAGAAATGAATTGGTTGGATGGCGTTCCCACAGCGGTCGTTCATCAGGGCCTGCCCAAGACATTTTGTCACCTGAGAAAGGCAGAAAATGGCAAACATCCCCCGCCCCCAATAGAAAGCATAGTGCCCAAGACTCATCAAGTTATTCAAGCACCTGGAAAAAAAATGTAACCACCCCATCACTGCCTATAAGAAATATAACTATGCATTAACAACAAACAGGCTTCTGCTTTTTTCATGATACCAAGAATTAATGGCCCGAGGCAGTGGCCTCATGTTGTATAATGACAGGACCAGCCCTGTTACTGTTGCTCTGTGTGGGAGAAGTGGACCCCTGTCTCCCTTTGCAATACGTTTGACAGCTCCTCCCCTCTGTGGGTCTAACTGGGTTCTTTGACCAGCCGGAGGGCAAATGAGGGCGAGTCTATAGGCGACATTTTGACATTTTGCTCTTTACATACCGTGTTTTTCCATGTATAAGACTCTACTTTTGTTTAAAATCTTTAGACTAAAAACTGAGTGTCGTCTTATACACGGAAGTAAGCTGAGGAGAGAGAGAAAAGTGGAGGGGAAAGCAGGGATCAAAGTGATCCTACAGGGCTTTGATCCTTTCCCCCCCTCCACTTGCTAAGCCCCACTTAGACTTCTTAATTTTGGGTTAGAAAAGTGGGGGGCGTCTTATAAACTGAAAAAAATACGGTACTTTAGATGTACTCAGGAGGCACTCAAGGCGTTTAAATAGCGCTGGGTCAAAAGGGCAACTTCTGAAGATGTGGCGTGCAAAGCCCATGAACCACATGGGTGAGAAATTGCCAACAAGGCTGAAGACCACTCTTCCCCCCCCATGAGTTTTAATGTTATTTGTAGCAGCAGCTGATGGACCCTCTGTGTCAGCTTTTTAAATCTATTCTTCTACTGTACTCTGATTCCTACCTAACTTGGATTAAAAATTGAGCCCACGGAAAATTCCCTTCCTACATTCCTTTCTCTTACCTCCATCCACCATGCTTCCTTCCAATCTACCCCATAACTCATCAGCGCTTCAAGCCTTCTGCATTTCTCCCCAACAGACTGGACTCCTTTGGCTGAATGCAGTGGTAGATTGGTCAGCCTGCCAGGCGAGGCAGGAAAGGATTCCCTTCACACGCCCGGGAAATGTTGCATGGCACTACATCTCCCAAAATCCCCCAGTCAGGGGATTCTGGCGGTTGTTAGGGTCTAAAATAACCTTTCTTCCCCTGGGTTCTGCACTCCGCCAGGAATGAAATATCAACTGCTTCCTTGTGGCCCAGCAGGGAGCACAGACAAAATCAATGATGCAGACAATTTTTCGGCACCATCCATGATGGAGATGTGCGCAGAGTCTGAGGAAGTAGCTTTCATCCACAAAAGCTTAGCATTTGTTTATTTTTTTAGTGGTGCAATGAAAGGTATCTCCTAATCTTGCATTTGCGCCATCAACAAACAATATCCCTTTCGTCTCCTGCTTGTGTTTGCAACCAAGGCAGACTATCTGGGCCACGCGTCTCTTCTTACCTGTTTTCAGGGCCAGAGTAAACGGGGGTCAGTAGGGTCTGTTGGCATCTTTCGGCCGCTTTAGTTGGACTTTTAGCCTCTTCATGCCGATCTGGAAGCCGTTCATTGCTTGAATGGCTGCCTGAGCGCTAGTTGGATTGTCAAAACTGACGAAACCTAAGAGAGAGGCAACGGAAAGCGGATGGAAGAGGGTTAAGGAAAGGAATTGCCTTGGTTAGTGTTACATTATGCTACAACTTAAGGTCATCCCGTTCTCAGATGAATTGCAATGAAAAGCGTACTGCAGGTCATCTGACATGTGGAAATCTGGCATTCATTCGTTCGTTCGTTCGTTCACTCATTCATTCGGTTCCCCTTGCCTTCTCCTTAAAAGGACCCAAGGTGGCTTATATCATTAAACAAACAGTATTTAAAAGCTCAAAACAGTAAGTATATGAATATTTTTCTTGAACTTGTTATCCTTTATGTTGTAAGCCGCCTAGAGTGGTCGAAATGACTAGATAGGTGGGGTATAAATACAATAAATAAATAAAAATAAATAAAAAAATTAAAAAAAGAGAATTAAACAAGAATTGTATTTAAAAGGGTAAATAAAATCAACATAAAAATCCTATTTAAAAGCAAAAAAAAAACATTTACTGTAAAAGCAACAGAGCACAAAAATCCATTTAAAAAAACACACCCTCTCAGGTAGCCAGTTACTGAGGGAAAGCCCACCTGAAGAGAAAGGTCTTTTGCCTGCTTGCAGATGGATAGCCAAGATGGGGTCAGGCTGGCCTCCAGTGGGAGGGAGGTCCACAGTCTGGGAGCAGCCACCGAGAAGGTTCTCTCTCCTGTGGGTCCCCCAAGCACACCTGTGGGGTTGGTGGGGCTGAGAGAAAGCCCTGATGATCTTAAAGCCCATACAGGCTCATAGAGGGAGATGTGGTGTTTTAGAAAGCTTGGGTTGGAGTATGAATGTATGAAGCTCATGAGCCGTTTGCTGTAACTTGCTACAAACAGCCTGGCTCCATATATCATGTATGATAATCTTGTCCTGTCTTTGTTCTTTCAATCCTTACAAAAGAACTCTTTTTGAATGTGGTATAGTAACTTCCCAGGGACAGAAATCAACTTAATGAGATATAAATGGTGGCTTTTAAAGCGGAGCATTATGTTTGCTTTCCTCAAGCCCGGTGGAACCTCACCTGTCATGCATGATTTCTCAAAAATGATTGCTGTGCGGTTCTGAGATGCCTTCAGCATCCCGAGATACACCTCCTTGTGACCTGCTGGCTTCCAATCATTCAACATTGTCAAATATTCTTTGCACAGATCTTTGCCAATCTTAATCTTTGTCCCTCTTGCACTCTGAACACACTGCATCAGATCAGTTATGTTTGCAGTATCCATGATGGAACTTACGTGAACGGCAGATCTTGAAGCTTCAATACCTATCCAGGATGAATTTTGCATCTATCACCCCTTTCCCCTCACCCAGCTCTACAATTCCCAACATTACAGATGGGCACGAACTGGTGGTTCGGCAGTTCGCGCCGATTTGTTTATTGGATGAATTCGGTACTTTGCAGGCTCTACCCAACATAATGAAGAGTACTACAGCACCAGTTTTAGGGATCAACACGGTATAACAAAGATATGACTCCCTCTCTCTTTTGTGATTTAACTCAACAGTCCTTTCAGCCAAAGCTGGAGATAAACCAATAGACTGGATAGTCTGGTCTTAATTCACATAGTCTTTATATCCATCCCTTTGTTTTCTACTGAGCATCCAGACACTCCTTGCTGATATGTATATTAATTAAGGCAAGGCTAATTCCCTTTGGAAACCTGGCTAAGATCTGGCTTTTTACATATCTTAAACATGCCACACAAACACACTCACTATGTCTCAGAATCACCTGAGGAAAAGGGTCAATAGCTTTCGCCTAAACTAAAATGTCTTTCCTTTAATAGAAAACATGCTTCTTTACATAAGGAGACTCAATTGCTGTCTTCCTCCATCAGAAGCGAGTTTTGGGTTTTTTTTTCCAAAAAAAGCTTAAAACCAATTATTCCAGTAGAACAATAAGACTTGTACCCTTGATCAGCTAACTTGTCTTTGTGTTTATTGCCTGATTTTTAGGGAGTCAGGAGGAGATCATATATTTTTTTGTTCTTAAAGAAATAGTTTTTGATATGAGGATACTAAATGAATTTTGAATTGGCTGATCCATGAAGTTCTGGCCTGAATCAGAAAGAAACTGATTGCTTGAATGTAACATGACAATGGTTTTGCGGGAATAAGGTGAAAATAGGGAACTTCGGCATTCTGTTGAAAAAATAATAGGACAATGTAAAGGCTTTCCTCCACTTCAAAAAAAAACCCCACCCTCTTACAATTAATGCTCTCATAGAAGTACTTAACGAATCCAAGTGGGTGGAGTCAATGTTTTTGTGACCAAAATATGGTCCATTTTGCTGATTTCTCCTCCCTCCCATTCGGAACCAGGTCCCAACTGCCTGAGGCTCCATAGCTATCAAATATTTTGAAAAAGCTACCACTTTTGGATCACATCCCACCTTCTATGAATTTCTGGATCAAAGGACAGGAAGATTCTAATTGGAACCTCCAGAGGGTGACGGCCAAGAGAATCTTGAAACGAGTAGATACTTACCAAAGCATTTACTTTGGTTAGTGGCACGATCGACGAAAACTTTGGCAGAGATGACGTTGCCAAATGGCAAGAACATCTGCATGAGCTCAGCATCCCCAAACTCCTGGGGCAGATGATAAATGAAGAGATTACAGCCTTCGGGACCTGAGGTGACAACGCAAGAAGGAACCAGTTAGCCTTTAAATTTGGCCGAAGTCAAGAATTACCAGCAATATTTTATCAGTCTCTGTTCCTAACATCATCATCATCCTCGTTGAACTGCAGAGCAGGAAGAGACCCCATGGAGTCCAGCTCCTATCAAGGAGGCCCAGTGGGGAATTGAACTCCCAGCTTCTGGCTCTGTAGCCAGATGCCTAAACCACTGAGCTATCCAGCACTTTCATGCAACTCTTGTGACAACAGCAACATGCCACATAGAATCACAGACTCATAAAAAGTGAAGTTGGAAGGGGCCTACAAGGCCATCAAGTCCAACTCCCTGCTCAGTGCAGGCATACAATCAAAGCATATCTGCCAGGTGATTATCTAAGTTTTCTTTGAATGCCTCCAGTGTTGGAGCACTCACCAACACCCAAGGTCACTGGTTCCACTGTTGTACTGCTCTAACAGTTAAGAAGTTTCTCCTGATATTCAGCCGAAATCTGGCTTCCTCTAACTTGAGCCCATTGTTGCGTTTCCTGTACTCTGGGATTATCGAGAACAGATCTTGCCCCTCCTCTGTGTGACAGCCTTTTAAATACAGTGGTACCTCGCATAACGAGCGCACCGTTTAACAACGAATCCACATAGCGATCTATTTTTTTGGGGATCGCTAATGTGATCGCATTGCGATGTTTTAATAGCCTAAACATCGCATTGTGATGATCGGTAAGCATTTCGCTTACCGATCTTCGCATTGCGATGTTTGCGGAACAGCTGATCGGCTTTCCCAAATGGCCGCCAGGTGCCCAAAATGGCCACCGCAACCATTTTTGCGCAATTTCCTCGCTTACCGAGGTGGCGAAAATGGCGGCGCTATAGAGGATCTTTGGATAACGGTGAGATTTCACCCCACAGGAATGCATTAAATGAAGTTTAATGTGTTTCTATGGGGTTTTTCCCCCCGCATTGCGATGTTTCCGGATAGCGACAATTAATCTGGAACGGATTAACATCGCTATGTGGGGCACCACTGTATTTGAAAAGTGCTATCATATCATCCCTCAGTCTTCTTTTCTCGAGGCTAAACATGCCCAATTCTTTCAGCCTTTCCTCATAAGACATGTTTAACATATTTAATGCTTAAATTAAGTTCTGGGTTTAAATAGCGTATGACTGTGAAATTCAACTCAATAGTTCAATTTTTTACTTTGGTGACAGTAAGCAATCTGTCCATTGATCATGAACGAAACACAACGTAAGAAATACATTCACTCACAATAGTTCAATTTTTTTACTTTGGTGACAGTAAGCAGTCTGTCCATTGATCATGAAAGAAACACAACGTAAGAAATACATTCACTCACCAAGTTAGAACTATATAATTTCTAATGGAAGCAAGAAATATAGCAGAAATAAACCGTATTTATCAGAAAACTGTTTGCCACCACTTCACGTCTATTGATCCTGTCCAGATGGAGAGTGAAAAATACTATTTTTCTCTCTCAACGCTTTGAGCAAGCCATACCATTCTTTCCCCACTAGGAGGCCATTATATCCTATAGAGATGGGGACAAATTAAAAAAATGGCGATTCTTTTTGATGCGCTATTCGTCAAGGTTAACGATCAACAAATATGAATATACGAACATTCTTCAATGAAGTGACGAATCAATCCGTTGATTTGTCTCCATTTCATACAGCTATAACACTGGCCCCTAACCACCTAAAGATACCAGATTTGCAGGGAACCCTCCTCAGATGCTTTCCTACAACTCCTGAAAATTTGGTAAACATTGGATCATGGACCCCCAAGTTATATAGTCACAAAGAGGACATCCCCAAGAAAGCTCCCCTCAGGTATCTGGAGACTCCAGAATCACAATAGAGTTTCCTATGTCTTTCCCCAAAAAGCCTACCAACTTTGGTGAAGATTGGACATCGGACATCTGAGTTATTCATCCACAAATTGGGTCCCATCAGATAAGTTTACCACAAGGCACAGAAGCCCATTCTGCCTACCGGCCGCCAATCAGCTGATTAAAAGTTGACAGGCGGCCAGTAGGCAGTAGGGTGTTTTTGTTTTTAATACAAAGGACGAATAAAAATGGATAAATATTCATCCCTTCGTATCCGTGGGGGTCTCCGGAACCCACAAATACGAATCAACAAATATTTAACGAATCTGCTATACTTGCCGGAAAAAGCTATCCGTTTTTAAATTCGTCCCCATCTCTAATATCCAACCCTCTACCTGCTTTCTCTTCTGAGAGCCTGGAATATTTCTAATTGCTGCTGATACTATGTCTTAACAGGAAAGATAGAGGAAGTTCCTGTATTGCTTTCCAAAATATTATTATTTTCCCAACACACATTTTGATTCAACCTCCTTTTATAATCACTTTCCAGGTTTTTTTTCAAAAAGGCCCACAGGAAAATTCATACACATTTTCATATGCATAAACAATTGCATACATATTGAAATATATTTCCCCCCTACAGTATTGTCCAATTTATGCATTTTACAAGCAATTGCTTCTGATAAATGAATCTCCTGAATTAGGGTGCTGTCTTCCTGTATTTGAAGAAGCATAAAAAACAAAGGAGAATCACATGATAGTTCATGCATTAGTTTGGGAAATGGGAATTAAGTCAGTGCTGATTCAATTATATATTAAAATGCAAATCAAATGGATTTTGCCCCCATTCTCATTGGCAACAGAAGCCAAGCATAACATACTCAGCTTCTTTCTCACAATGCACTCGATCTGCTTCCTCGTTGTATTCCTTCTAACCAACCCATATATCTTTTTAGAAAAATCATTTGTTACAATAAAATTTTTTTAAAAGATTGTCATTAACTTTTTGGAACATGTAACTGAAACCAATCATGATAAATCTTGAACTACTATCAACCTAAGCACAGAAACAATATTACGCCCCCTCCCAAAAATCAAATATCGTCAAGACAGAACCAGTTCCTTGAAATCTTATGCCAAACCTTCAACAGGTGATTTATTTCCTAGGATGTTAAAATATGACATGGAGAGAAAGCCCTCACTGGAATAATGACTTCCGCCATCCTAGCATAGACGAAGTCTCCGTTTTCTGTGAAGGCACTGATACGTTCAGTCAGTGGTTGAAATCCTGTCGCTTTAGTATTGGAAGGATGAGACCGCACTGTTCATTACCTCATGTTTTGGACCACTTTTAGCATAATTAGCTCCAATCTATTTTCCCGTGACTACACGACACACCAGTAATGGCAAACCAGCCTGGCCCTTTTCCATGGTTACCTGTACTTTTTAAATTATTATTCAAGGCCAACCCCCTGCTCAATTCAGAAATACCATGAAAGCATATCTCACCTCACTTATCAATACTTAAAAAATAATAATCCCAGCTTTCTCATGCTCCTCGTGGAAGGGAAGATGAGAAAGGATGCAGGGGAATGGAGGTGGAGACGAGTGTGAGAGAGAGATGGCTCAAATATTTTTGCTTTGAGGTACGGTGCGGTTTCTTCTCCTGAAACTACATGGCGCTTGCATGTGGACGCAAGGACGGTGCTTTGAAGTTGAACCTTTTTACACTAAGGAGCAGGATTTCAGCCATTGTTTTCCAAATACCGTAAGGTAAAGGTTCCCCTTGACATTTAGTCCAGTCGTGCCCGACTCTAGGGGGCGCTGCTCATCCCCCTTTCCAAGCCATAGAGCCAGCGTTTGTCTGTAGACAGTTTCTGTGGTCACGTGGCCAGCGCGACTAGACATGGAACGCTGTGACCTTCCCACCAAGGTGGTACCTATTTATCTACTTGCATTTACATGTTTTCGAATTGCTAGGTTGGCAGGAGCTGGGACAAGCAACGGGGGCTCACTCCATTGCATGGATTCGATCTTACAACTCCTGGTCTTCCGACCTTGCAGCACAGAGGCTTCTGCGGTTTAACCCGCAGTGCCATCATGTTCCTTTTACTAAACACAGTAAGACTTCCATCTCTTGGGGATCGCTTCCAAGCGATCCCGTGGATGCTGAAAAATGCGGATTATGTCAATATATAATAGTGAATACTATACATCATGTGATCTCCAGCTCCCTCTAGTGGCCGTTCTGGTAACTTCACCTTTGGAAATATCTCTTTCTAGGATTTTTCTTTTAATATTTTTAATATTTTCAGACCATGGATAAGTGAATCAGCAGATACTGATCCTGTGGATATGGAGGTCTTACTGGAAAGCTTAATTTGAAGTTTTTCTTTAAACAAGTAAGCCAACATTTTGAAATAAAGTTCATTTATGTCCGTTGACATAAATAAATGAAGCTTTAGATCTTTCAGTCATGCCTCCCTTACTCCTGACACAGCAGTGTTGATTTCAGAGACGCTTCATATTGATCACTTCAGTACAGCGATCACTCAAAAAAAAAAAAGTGGTGCTCTCTCGGTTGTTGTCTCCTTCTACTGCTCAAACCTCCTTCCTGCGGTTCCATCTCACCTTCTCTCTGTTGTTGCGGGATGATGGGCGCTTGCTGGGGGAAGGCCTGGCTGATTGGTGCATAGGCGGCTGGATATGCTGCTGGAACACAAAAGGAGAACAGTCAGGGCGTGTCCAATGTCATGGCTTGCTCTCCGAAAAAACGGTAAGGGAAAACTGGATGCAGAGGGTTGCAGTCTAGGGCAGTCCACTAGGCATCCCGAGACGCAAGGCTCATCTAAAAAGAGCTTGCCCAGGGGTGCCCCACTTGACTTGTAGGACTTTATGATGGGATGAGCTTCAAGACATGATACAGTGGTGCCCCGCATAACGAGGGCCCCGTTTAACGATGAATCCGCATATTGACACATTGCGATGTTTTAAATGGCTAAACATTGCATTGTGATGATCGGTAAGCGTTTCGCTTACTGATTTTTGCATTGCGATGTTTAGAAAACAGCTGATCGGCAGTTCCAAAATGGCAGCCGGGTAAAAAAATGGCCGCCCACTCCGTTTTCGCACCCTTTCCTCGCTTATCGAGCAGCGAAAATGGAGGCCGGATGGAGGATTTCCACATAGCGGTGAGTTTTCCCCCCATAGGAATGCATTAAAAGTGTTTTAATGCATTCCTATGGGTTTTTCCCCCCGCATAGCGATGAATCCGGATAGCGACGATTTTTTCGGAACGGATTATCGTCGCTATGCGGGGCACCACTGTAATGGCTGAAATCCTCCTGCTTAGCTCAGTAAGTTGGACTACAGGAGGCCAACTGAGTCAATGGGGATTGGGTAAGTCAGCTCCTCCATAAGTCCTACTGATTCAAATGGGCTTCCTCTAGTTGCAACTTACTACACTAAGCAACAGCATTTCAGCCATTAGTTGACACCTAGCTGGGACCTCAAATAACATCTTCCTTGTTCCTGAAGGACATTTCTTGACATCAGTCATGCAAACATTGGGGGTCCTGAGTTCTTCAGTAGGTAGCACTCCTGCTTCCTCGTGGAGCCGTGCTCCCAAAAAGCTGCCCAACAGCTAAATTTGGGGATTGTATGTGGTTGGACTACAACTCCCAAGATCCTCCAGCTGGCATGGCTACTAGGGTCTAAAAAAGTAACTTTTTAGTTCAAAGGAGTAAAATTTTCAAGCTCCATCCAATTCAACTTTGTATAAACCAGAAAAGGAGAGCTCAGAAAACTTGTGGAGTGTTAAGGTCGCAACACCCAGAATCACCTTTTTCTAACACACAAAAAAATTAGTGTGAGATCAGATGGCTATTCAAGCTCGCATATTTGGACTGCTTGTGGCACAGCCCAGTTTATGCTATTTTTTTGGCAACTACATGACATACACAGAATTGCAAACCATGCCCATTCCAGACCATTGTGCTCCAGCAACAGATCTACTCTATTTTGGACCTCGTCTTGATTGATAGCATCGCACAGCAATGACCCTTTCCAGCATAATCCAACATGATCCAGCTTCCCAGTCTGATTGCACCCTGACAAATGATAGAAACCAAGCCTCCCTAACATGGGAGGTAGGTGAGGGATTTGATCATACTCCCCATACAATGGTTCCCAATCTTGGATTCTCAGATGTTCTTGGACTAGAACATCTCAGAAGCCTTCACTGTGAGCTGCGCTGGCCAGGATTACTCTGAGTCATGGTCCAAGAACCTCTAGAGCAGTGGTCTCCAACCTTGGGCCTCCAGATGTTCTTGGACTTCAACTCCCAGAAGTCCTGGCCAGCAGAGGTGGTGGTGAAGGCTTCTGGGAGTTGTAATCCAGCAACATCTGGAGCCCAGGGTTGGGGACCATTGCTCTAGAGGACCCAAGGTTGGGAACCATTGCCCCATAGCATGGTCTTCAGAGCTTGGCAGACACATACGCATGCTCATCATATCACAAAGATGTCACGCAACGATGGAGACAGAGGAAGACACAAGGAAACTGGAAGAGATGGACAGAGAGAGTGGAGGTGGTGGAAGGACAGAGGTAGAGGAGGGGGAAAGAAGGGCAAAGCAATGTTTGAGACCTGCATAGTGCTGCATGCCTGCATAGGCTTGCTGGAGGGGGTCTGCCACAGTGGGACTTTGAGCTGGGAAGAGAAAAGAGGAAGAAGAAAGAGAGTAAGCAAAGTCAATCAGAGGTGAACAGCTTTCAGAGCAGAAGAGCCAGATGTTGCTGGTGGGTCATGAACCACTTGAGGTGCTTCCTTGATTGACCATCGTGTCTTTCCTCCTCAATGCTCCTCAGAACCCACTTATGCATTATCCACTAACCCCGTATCAACAGTACTGCTTTGCTAGAGCTATGTCCACGCTTCCTCTCTCTCTCTCTCTCTCTCTCAAGAGCTACATCCATGCTTCCTCTCTCTCTGCCATCAATAGCAGAAAGGCTGGAGAGAACAGGAACCACCACTGAAGGGAGAGCCCACTGGCTCTTCCTTCTATATCTGCCGTTCATTTCCTTTCTTCTCTTTTCAGAAACGTCTCCCTTAAGCAGTGGTCTACCACGGAAGCAAACTATGGGGAGCCAAAGCCACAGATGGAGAAAGTAATGTTTTAATGTTAAATTTGTTTCATCATTTTTAAAATGCTATAATGGTTAATTGTTTTTAGCTTTTAATATTATTTCCTTTTTTGTACAGTAAACTGCCTTGGGTCTTATTTTAGGAGAATGAGATACAAATATTTTAGATAGATAGATAGATAGATAGATAGATAGATAGATAGATAGATAGATAGATAGATAGATAGATAGATAGATAGATTAGGTAGATTAGGTAGGTAGGTCGGTCGGTCGGTCGGTCGGTCGATCGATCGATCGATCGATCGATAGATAGATAGATAGATCTGCAGTTCCTCTACAGCATGATTTATGTGTATCCTTCAGCCCTACCTCTTGGTGGGGACACCAGAAATTTCAGAAGGCAGAGTTTTTATGGGGCAGCACTGCTCTGAATGTGATATTCTAGCCAGACTGTCTGAAAAGGCCTACAAAATTAATCGGTGGTATCTCCTGGCTTTTTGACCCTACTCTGCATGTTAGCAACAACAGCAAGCTTAGTCTGATGACCATTTCTCCTCCCTTGTGCCTGTTATCCTTTTCTATGCACAGAAACACAACAACAAGGTCCCTTACTGATTAGGTTGAACAAGGGAGGAACCTTGGAAGTTGTGGGTGCAACACAACTCCCCAAAGCATCCTCCCCATTAAGACAGAGATGGGCCACTTGTAGCAACACAGATTTGTTTTGGATTACAACTCCCACCAGCAACATGGTCAGTGGTAACAGATTCTAGGAGATGGGGTCCAAAATATCTGGAAGGTCAAATGCTATTCTGTGTCAACTTTTGGGCATTTTGTCCTTTGACAGATGCCTCTTCTCTTTTCTCAGAGCCATCAGTAAGAACTGGGAAAGGCACAGGGTTAGCAGGTTCGATCCCCACCTCTTCCCCCTCCCGCTATATTTCCAAAACCTACCTGGGTATGGATGGATTCCATTGGTGTAAATTGTTTCTGATGCTGGCTGCCCATTGGTCTGTGGTGGGAGAGGGCTGAATCCATTGACCCCAATCGGCGTAGCTATGCTAGGGACCGGCGCTGTGCTGATCCCTGGAGGTGTGCTTGTACCTGAACAAAGCAAAGAAGAATTAGGAATATGGGGCCTGAGGACTAAAGAGCTGTACGCGCAGCCTGAAAACACCTCCTCTTGCTATCTCCTCTTCTTATCGCTGATCAGTGATGAGAAATAAGAGACACAAAGCCCAAAAAGCGAATCTAATTGGACTCTGGTTTTTAGCGCAAGGACCCAACATATAAAATATGGCCTTATGTGGGCCCAAGGGTCATTTTTGTGAATCCCTGATTAATTGATTGATTAATTGCCCCCTCTACTACCTGTTCCTTGAGGCCTTCAGGAATGGTGACTTTGGCGTGAAAAAGATTCAGGTTCACCAACCCCCCAAATCAAATTCAGAAGTTGCTGTCTTGGTACTTCCAGTTATTATTTTTATGATATCCAAGTTTTTTTAAAAAAATTCATTCATTCATTCATTCATTCATTCATTCATTCATTCAGTTCATTCATTCATTCATTCATTCATTCATTCATTCATTCATTCAGTTCATTCATTCATTCATTCATTCATTCATTCATTCATTCATTCATTCATTCATTCATTTTGCCACTTTTAGGTCTGCCACGGTTCTCTGCAGGTGCTGAGGGTGAACATTTCTCCAAGACCTGCCTATGTCTTTGCCCAGTCTCATCCCAACATCCTCTCTGGAGCTCCCAAGTCCGTGGAGGGACTGATACCTGATGAGGGCGTCATAGGGGCTGCGACCAATCCGCTCACGTTAAAAGCGGCCATTTGTTGCATCTGGGCCGCCGCGATGGCCGCCATCGGGTTGAGGCAAGTTCCTTGTGCTGCAGCCATCAGGGCTGCCTGCTGCTGTATTATCTTAATGGAAGAAAAACAGACATGGGGAAGAGGGGGAAAAAAGCAGGGACGGGGGAAGGCAGCGAGCAGGAGGGTGGTGAAAGAAGTGGACGGAAAGTGGGGAAGCAAAGGAACGAGAGGCGTGGGGAAGGGAGGAGGGGAAAGGAAGAAGGTGCCCGTTAGTTTTGCTTTTGTTACCAAAGATCGGCAGGCTAGGGGTGCAACCAAAGCAATATCAAAGAAACTTTTGAAGGAGCATGTTTTCTATCCTCTCTTAAATCCTAAGTACACCAATGACGATAAACACTCACATAATGTTTTGGAGTGGCCAGAGTATTTTGTCTACATTTGATTCAGAAATTGTCTCTGGGTAGCTCAGCACCAAGGCCGGATTATTCATAAAGCTGACTAGGCTGAAGCCCAAGGGGATGGACCCACAGGGACTACTGGCCCATCTGTTTTGTTTGTTTGTTTGTTTGTTTTGCTCAGGCTGTCTGCTGTAGTGGGGTGAACGTCTGAGGTGTCAGAAGTGGGCCAAAATAGCTGAAAGCCAAAGGGCCCTCCATGGGTTAATACGACCCTGTTCAGGACTCTAATTGGCCCTTTGGTTTCAAGCAAGAAGTTACTTTGAAAAGGCATGGCATTCAAACAAGGGGGGAAAAAGTTCGGCACTTCATTTTGCTTTGACAAAACACGACCCCCAAACTGCAAACCAAGCCACGAATCAGCCCAATTCGTTGGTTTTTCTGGTTCGTAGTTCGTCCCTATCTCAAATCCCAAATCCTATCACTGGACGGTTCTGTTACCCAGTCCCCTTCCCCTGCTGACACTTCCCACTATAGCCCTGGCCTCTCATGAGCAGGTTTTAGAAAGAGGGATGGAAGCGGTTCAGGGCTGGCAGAATTCTCAAGGAGCGGAACGAAAGCCTGTGCCAAAATTAGGACCGGAAGATGTTGCACCAGAATCCCTTATTTTGCCATCCCTCCCTTGTTTCGACATTGCCATCATAATCCCTTCCGGCTCGTGGGGATGGACCCACAGGGACTATGGGCCTGTCCGTTTTTTATTTTTTATTTTTTGCTTGGGTTGTCTGCTGTAGTAGGGTGAACGTCTGAAGTGCCAGAAGTGGGCCAAAAGACCTGAAAGCCAAAGGGCCCTCCATGGGTTTATACAGCCCTGTTCAGGACTCTAATTGGCCCTTTGATTTCAAGCAAGAAGTTACAGTATATTTAAAAGTTATGTACTTTGAAAAGGCATGACATTCAAACAAGGGGGAAAAAAGTTTGCCACTTCATTTTGCTTTGACAAAACACGACTCCCAAACTGCAAGCCCCATTCGTTGGTTTTTCTGGTTCGTAGTTCCGTTCGTCCCTATCTTGAATCCCAAGTCCTATCACTGGACGGTTCCGTTACCCAGTGCCCTTCCCTTGCTGACACTTCCCACTATAGCCCTTGCCTCTGATGAGCAGGTTTTAGAAAGAGGGATAGAAGTGGCTCAGGGCTGGCAGAATTCTCAAGGAGCCGAACGAGAGCCTGTGCCGAAATTATGACCGGAAGATTTTGCACCAAAATCCCTTCTTTTGCCATCCCGCCCTTGTTTCAACATTGCCATCATAATCCCTTCCGGCTCGTTTCTGCCTTCACTGTATGGGAAGGGTATCCTTGAATGGACCAGCAGCATCTCCTACCGCTTGCGTGTATGCTCCGTAGGCGCCAAACTGGATCGTCATTGGATTAAAGATCCCCAGCTGGCCCGCCATCTGATGCATCCGCCGCAGAGTCCTTTCCTTGTCTGTGTCGGCAAACTTCACAACCAGGCTCGAGGATGCTCCCTAGGGTGGAAAGAGTCAAGCAGAAGCAGAGAGAGTGGGGCAGAGTGTACCCATTGCTCCTGCGTGCAGGATTGCCAGCCGCTGCTGCCCCCTGCAGGCACCCCAGCAGACCAACAAAGAACGAGGATGGCTGCCATCATGATGGCGATGCACCCATGACATTCAGTTACTTTGGGCATCTGTGCGGTGTGAGTCCCGAGGCTCTATTTTTTCCTTACAATGATGTACCGTATTTTTCGCACCATAAGACACACTTTTTTCCCACAAAACAGGGGGGTGGAAAGTCTGTGTGTCTTATGGAGCGAACAAAACAGATTATATTTTCCTGTTTTCTTCTCCTAAAAGAATTGGTGCGTCTTATGGAACGGTGCGTGAGGCTCTATTTTTTCTTACAAAGATGTATTCTTTTTTATATTTTTAATCTTTATTGCATTTTTTTAAAAAATTACAAAAATAAGTAAATACTTATCACAATATTAGCACATGACCAAAATAACTTTCTATTATCTCTTTCGCAAAACAGTTAAGTCTTTACCATTTGTACTTCCTTATTTTCCACCAGACGTTTATTTTCTTTGCAGTCTTAATAATACCTTTCTTAATTCTTATTTTATACCCATATTAACAATCTGCTTCACAATGATGTATTCTTATGGTTTGACCATCCTGATGTAAATAGTTGGAAGTAAAGGGTTACAAGGAGCACAGCTACCAGCATGGAGTTACTTTGGAGATGTGTAACAAAAGATTTTTGAAGTCATGAAACCAAGGGAAATGATGCTAACTCCTTCTAGGAAGGAGGGTTGTATGGATAACATCTCCTAAGGCTTTTCTAATTATTGTTAAAGGACACTTTTAGAGATTTTTAGCAGAATATTTCCGATTTTATGCTATTCTCTTATCAATTTTACATTTTTTTAAAAAAGGTAAATGAAAATTATAAGCAACACAAAGCAAAGTGCTAGAAGTTACTATTTTGCTGTGTGTGTGTGTGTGTGTGTGGAGTGCTAGAAGTTACTATTTTGCTGTGGTTTTTTTTTCCCACTGTCTTGGATCTCCTTCAGACACATTTCCATCATGTTGAAAAGCTCTGTTTTTGGATGAAAAATTCCCAGAATCTCCCCGCTATTATACCCCACTTCACAGCTCAAAAAAAGGAATTTTTTTCAAACTCAGATCTTTTTTAAAAAATTAATCTCCTCATTCCCATTTCTAAGTATTTTGGGAAGGGGAGACAATAATTCACCAAACTAAATGTCATGTATAGGCGTCATATTACATCCACCTCCATCTACTCTTCAGTTGTCTTTTAGACACCTAAGAAGAATCTGCAAGAGCTAAAGTTGTTTTTAAACTATACTACTTTTGGCCTAGAAGGAGTACAATTGATTTTCTATCAAGTGAGGAAGAAGAGAGAAGCCTGGTGGAATATGTTTTGAACTGGGAGAGATATCCTATACGAAAAGTCCCTGGAAAGCCACTGCCAGGCAGTGTAGGCCCTGCTAGTTTGGGTTGACCCAATGCTTTGACTCCCTATAAAACAGCTTTGTCGATTCCTACAAAGTCCAAACATCTGGAGGGTGAAAGTTTGGAAACCACAGGCCTTAATGGTAGGGCTGGTTCTTGAGTGACAACGCTTTGAAGTCTGAATCTATTTCTTTCACCCTAATTGTCTTAGATTGACTTCAGGAGATGCAAGAATACGCTACCTCTTCTTTAGCTTCATAGAGTATCGATCCTGTCCTTTTCATTTCAAAAAAGGTGGAATCATTGTGATGAGTACATGCAATCGTTTTTTCTCCTCTCTTCGGAGATGCAATTCCAACAGGTGCCACCAGATCAGAAGGTCACCAAGGGACCGGCTTTCCTGCCCCAGATCGGCCTCGGATCAATGCCGTCCGCTTTTACAACATTCGGCCGATCCCCAGGCTCTTTCCTCCTTTCGCTCGCTCTGTCTTGGAACTGTGACCTTCATTGTTAATTAAATGGCAGTCTTCTCAAGCTGAGTGATTGAATTACCTCCCAACACCTGTCTTGAAGAGCATCACCGCTGATCAGAATAAATGATGGGCCCTATTTTTACAAGAGATTTGATCCCTGAGATTCTGATCTAATCAAAGGGAGGATAGATTAGCTGATGATTGAATTAAAAAGAGTGGTGGGGGGTGGGAAACACACCCTGCTATCTTGTGAGGACAGGGTGTCTGTGTTGTGTGGCTGCCCATATGTGAAGTGCAGACAGACAGGCAGGCGGTCAGGCAATGTTTTATAAAGTAAAACTAAACTCAAGTTTCGAAAATCAGTTTGTGTCAAGTCTTCTTCAATCCATTTCGGTCTGAATGGATGAACTTCATTAAAAAAAATTCCACTATAATTACTGCAAAGATTTTATAATCCACATTCAATAATGATACTGATAAACATTTTAAGATGTTTTAACGTGTAGAGTCCATGTCTTCTTTCGGTATTAGGGTGATGTTTGCCTCTAGGGTATTTTAGCTTCTAATAGAACTTCCTTGCAGACCTCTTTTACTGGTAGGCTTAATATACCTTGGAAGGATGTATACAATTCCACTGGCAATCCGTCTAAGACCAGTACCTTTTTCATCAGCACTCACAAAAACAACAGGATTTGTGCAAAAATTTGTATTCTGCGTTTTCCTTTTTGGGGGTAGGGCAAAACCAAGATCAAAATTTCTTGTGCAAAAGATCATTTGCATAAAATATAGAGAGTTTCTCTCTCTCTCTCCGGAAATGTTGGGAGGGAAGCATAAATGCTCTTGTAATTTGCCCAGTGGCAATAGATTTGAATTTTTTTTGGTTCTCATCTGCAAAAATAAAATAAGCAAAAACTGACTTCCCTTTTTGTGTCCCTCCAAGTTTGGTGAAGACTGGGTTTCAGACACCCAAGTTATACACCTACAAAATGGGTCCCCCTGGAAAGTGCCCTCAATAGCTGGCTTGGGGAAACCAAATCTTCACCAAACTGGGAAAGATTGCAGAGGAGAATTAACGGAAGCTTCCCTGCAATTTTGGTGTCTTTAGGTCCCTGGGCTGCTTTTCTATAGCTCAATGAATTGACAAATCAAAAATCACTAAAAAGCCATTTAATATTCATCGGGAGCATTGATTTGTATGAATACGAATGGATGAGAAAAAGCCATTTAACATTCAATGGGAGCACTGATTTGTATGAATACGAATGGATGAATTCGTGATTTTTGAACAAATTTGTGATTCATTTTTAAACTGGTGCCCATTTGTAGTCTGAATCTATTCTAAGCTGATGATTAAATCTGTTCCACCCACTTTTTTTTCCCATTCAATTCGTTCGCTGAAAAAACAATAAACAACTGCACGAACATTCACATTTAAACATGGATTCCGTGCACCTAACAAAATGTTTCCTAGTGTTATATTTTGTATGCAAATTTATTAGCTTAGTTTTGAGATAAAAATTATATTTGAAAGTCTGACAAATGTAAAAAGAACTATGTTCTCCTCCACATGATAGTCCAGGAGGAGCGGCTTTTGTCAGAATTCGCACAGAAGAAATTCTGTGTTCCTGTTATTAGCCTTGTCACAAGATCTCTCATCAGTATCTAAGATACTTCATAGCAGACCTTTCTAACCTTGTGACCTGCAAATGGGCTGGGTTGCATGTGATCAGGATTTGGCCAATGAGGAGGAACAGCCTGCCACATTTTGAGGGCTCTGGGACTGGTAAGGCCATAGTATAGGGAAAGAAATGAAGCAAGTGTTTTCTCCACATGAGGCACCGGGGTGGCAGACATTAATTAAACAGGAGTCTTTGGTCCGACAGATGGTGCTCCTCAAGCCATCTCCAGGATTGCTCCAGGTTTCTGCTCAGCACTTACCGGCATGGTCTGGCTGCCATGAAGACTGCTGATCGCTGCTTGGGCCTCTGCATGGCTTCCATATTTGACAAAGGCACATCCTATGGGGAAAGACAGTACCAATGGTTAGCCCAAAGCCTAAGAGAAACTGCTTAGAAAGGGGGTTTATTTTTGTATTGAGAATCTCTGAATACCCCCTGGCCAACATGGCCTTGTTAGCTGGAGTATCCTGGGGAACAGTGAAGCAAAAAAAATCTCATTTTGCCAGGCTCTGTAAAGAAGAACAGCCAAGAGTAGTTGGTGGGTCTTCACATTTGCATTGTCAGCTGAGGTGGCCTAGTGCACACGGCAGCCCAAAGAGCCTTCTTCTTCCACATAGTTATGCAAACAGCAAGACCAGGTCATAGATTGAGTGGTGCAAAAAAACAGAAGGGCACAAGTAACCGTCTACAGAGTTGGGAGCTTTGTTTTATTTTCATTTATTTTTATTTCCCTTCCAGTCACCAGGAGAAAGTTCCTATCAGCTTCCTACAGCAGCCTCCAGGAAGGGAGTGAGTGAGGGACCTTAAAAGGGCAAGTTATCCTTCATTCCTCCTTAAAAGGGCAATGTAGGGGACCTGGTCTTCTGCTCTTTTAACAACAATAATAAAAATAACAGATTGTAACTTTATTTCAAAAAACTGTTTTTCATTAGTCCCCTTGGGGGACTACCTTTTACAAATGACAGTAAAATGTCATTGTTACCAATTATCTGTAAACACTGACTGTTCCCTTCTAGCAAAAGAAGTGGCTACCTCACTTCCGTCGTGCCTAGCCCCACATGCTCCGCACCTTTGCTGGCTCCATCAGGCCCTCTGAGGATGGTGCATTCTTCGATTTGGCCAAAGGGTTCGAAGAGCCTCCGGACATCATCTTCACTCTGTTGCTTCCCCAGCATACCCACAAAAAGCTTCCTGTCTTCTAAAAACAAACCACTCCTTGTTAGTAACAGTAACACGTAGCCACAACGCAGGGGTGCAGGGCAGAGAAGAAGCATGGTTTGGGGTGTTGACTTGGTTGACCCAGAACAGGATGACTATAGGCTCGGCTACAGTGCCATTTGTCCCACGGCGTTCTGTTCTGGGCCAGGTTAGTTCGCTCCTTTTGCTGGCAACCGGACAACACAAGTATCAGCACGAAACAGCCTATTCTCGGTGTGTTCCTATCTGAACCTTTTTGGTAGGATTGTTCCACCTTGGTTTATTCCCAGCACCTGCAACTACTGGAAACGAACCAAAACAGAGCTTGCTGTTTTTTATTCTCCATCCAGTTTTGATTTCGCAGTATCCTTAAGCTTAGCCACTTAATGATCCTGGGAAATTAAAAACTTTTTCTGTTCCTCCATGAAGGGCAGAGGAAGGATGCAAACGGGTTTTTAAAAGACCTATTAGGGCAGTGTTGTACCTTTTAGAATTTTGTTTTAATGAACATTTCCTCTCAGCTGGAGGAGAAGTCAGGAAGAGGCAAGAAAGGGGACTTATTTCTTTCTTGTTATTTATTTATGTAAAATATTTTAACCCCATCTTTCTCCTTAAAAAAGACCCAAGGTGGGGTACATCATTAAAAGACAGTATTTAACACTAACAACGGTGTGTATACAACTACAAAAGGATCAAACAAATACTATACTAAAACAACGGTGTGTATACAATTACAAAAGGATCAAACAAATACTATATTAAAAAAAACAAATATTATACTAAAAAAAGAAAAGTTTTTGCCTGCTTGGGGAGGAAAAACAAAGATGAGGCCAGCTTAGCCTCCAGAACTGCATCAAATGGCATACTGGACATCTATGTGATGTTAAGTGACCCTATTTAGCCTGGTCAAACCCATCTTGGTTAAGCTGTCTAGCCAGTCCTATGCAAAAGTCAACATACAATTAAACAGTAGTAGTGCCCATATGGTACTTGGGTTCCTGATATATAGCTGGACTTCTCTTCCCAGAAGCCCCAGACCATATGGTCAGGGATTCTGTGAGTTGTGTTCCAACATCTAGGGGCTACCGTGTGAGGAACATCCACTTTTCAATCCATGTTCAGCCACTGTGTAATTGCAAGCCAGTCACTACCTCTCAGTCTAATCTACATCACAAATGTATTATTGAGAGGATTAAAAAAAGGGGAAAGAAGGATCTTGGAGAAAAAGGGGGCCATAAATGTAACCAACCAACCAACCAACCA